AACAGTAAAGTGAAAGAAGACCCTTGATGACTTGAAAAGAAAGAGAATTATCAGAATGAACTATAGACAATTAAACTAATTTTACATGCTTTAGGAAAAGATATAAATACTGGAACAAAGACAATGTTCATGTATAGTAAAATATGCCAATAACTATTTTGTTTGGCTTTGTTATTTTGCTCTTGGCCATCTTTGTGACTTTTTAAGGGGGAATTTCTTCTCACATGAGCTCAAAAGATACAAGGTGTTTAGTCATATCATGGTTCTCTTACAGTCATAATGTTTGACGTGAACTAATGCTAGAGCTATAAGCGGAAATAGCACATAGGCTGTTTCTACTTGTGGTTTTATGACTGAAACCTCTCCGTGTTTAACTTACTCGACTGAAAGACAGAAAAAAAATGTGTTTGCTGTGATGGCGTTTAGGTTGTTCCTTTCATTTGCTCTTCTTACTTTCAACACAGGTATAAAATCAAATCATTTTACTATGATAAATTAATCTGTGATTAAATGTTTTTCTTCCCGTGGCAATAAGTGAAAGGCAGTTTTAAAATTTGCTTTAAAGTTAAATGTTTTATTCTTAACATTGTCTTTTTGACATATTGATCAAGTCTTTTGTTCAAGGAATTGTTTTGTTTTCACTTCAGAAATGTAATGTTGCCAGGATTTTACAAGATATCATTATGATTGATTTGTTACAATAACATCCTGTATTCAGTATTTTGTCAAAAAAGGATGACTTAAGGTAAAATAACCACATTACACTGCATTGTGGGAATACCCATCAGTCCTTGTATATATGTGTATTTTGATGTCATTATTATGGTGCTTAGTGTTACAGAGAATTTGAACCTTATTTGGTCTTAATTAAATTTCATCCAGGCAGTAATAGGGTTTAACTGACTTTTTTATTTCGTAATTCATGATTAATCGCATCCAAAATAAAAGGTTTTATGTACATAATATATGTGTGTACTACTGTGTATATTTATTATGTGTATATATAAAGACACACACATACAGTATATATTTAGAAAATATTTACATGTATTTACGCGTATATATTCATATAATTTATATTATATACTGTATCAATATATTTAATATAATAACATAACATATTTTTCTTAAATATATACATGCATGTGTGTGTATTTATATATACATAATAAATGCACAGTACACACACATTATGTACACAAAAACTTTTATTTTGGATGAGATTAATCGTTGCCCAGTACTACATTTTATTTATGAATTATTTAATTACTGACACTAATTATTGAAGTCTGATAATTTTTTGCATTCCACATTATACGTGGAAATGCTGTATGTTAAAATACTTAATATAATATTTCATAAATAAAGTACCACCGTACTAAATAATAATGGAGTGAACAATAGTACTGTGATGTGCTGAATGGTTGTTCAAATTTGTTCATTTGTCCTTGAATTTCACTCTTTACTGAGAGAAACAGCGACATTTGATTTTTATTCAGCTTAATAGCACAGCTGTTGACCAATCCCCTATTACTAAATTAACATTCAACTAAAACCTTTAGCTTGTGGCAGCATATCATTAATGTTCATGACAACAGCAGTAAGCAAACTGCTACTAAACTTTGCCCTCTAAACAAAAAAACGTATTTTCTCTCTCCTCAGGGTTCAGTGCTGAGATCTCTGTATTTGTGCAGACAGGAGCTTCTGTTAAACTGGATATACAGACACAACAACTACCAGAGTTTGATCTTTTTTACTGGATGAATGATAAATCTGAAGAAATAGTTAGATATATAAATGGAACTAAAAAAGTAAGACATCATACTTTCTTTGAGAACAGATTGGATTTCAATGCTAAAACCTTCTCTCTGACACTGAAGAACATGCAGAAGACAGACAGTGGACTCTACAGAGCAAGAGCAAGTGCAGATTCAGACATAAATATTGTTACATACAGAGTATCTGTTATAGGTGAGTGTTATGTGTACTACTTAAGCTACGATGTAATAAGATACTGTTAATGTTTATCTGAAAACTTTTATTTGAAAACTATGTAAAGTACAACAAAAAGAAATGTTGCATATGTTTTGTACTGTGATCCACAACCTGTTACTCATGATTTAGTGAGTTATTTATGTTCATTTCAGGAAGTCTATACAAGATTGTATGAATAAATTATGTTTGGTCTTTGTTTACTCAAGTTTTGAATTGGCAAGTTCTGGCATCACTGAATCTGTATGTGGCTTTAAACATTTTAATGTGTTTCAGATGCAGTGAAAACTCCAGTACTGATTGTAAATTCAAACCGGTCCAGCCCTGACTCCTGTAGCTTTACATGTAATGGAAGTAATAGTATCATCAGCTCTATTTATAATAGTAGCAGCTGTTCTCGAGAGGAAGTGACATCATCTGATAATCACACTCTAAGACTGAGCTGCAGTGGTGACTCCATCATATGTAACTACAGCAACCCAGTGAGCTGGAAGACGGTTAATGAACTCTGCACTGTTAATCAAGGTACTTCTCCCTTCAGATGAGGAAACAGAAAAATAGTGACAAAACACTGAACTGAAATGCCTGTTGGATTAAAATTCAGTATGGGAAAATAGATTTTCTGATGTTCTTCTTTCATGTCCAGAAAGACAACAAGCTAAAGAAGCATCTTTGCGTTGATCAACTCAACTCAAATCATTTAAACGTAAAAACATCCAAGCTGTTTGCTAGTTCTAATGTGACATTATTTTCAAACTAGAACAGAAGCTTAAACGCATCATTTGAACTGGATTTGGATCCTGGATTCATATCCTGAATTCATGGCATACAAAAGTAGTTCAACACAAGAGGGTCTTTTGCAGTGTGGCAAATGTATTTTAAGGTCATAAAGCTACATGCATAATAAATGTAAAAGAAATAGCACATTGCTGTTCACAATGGTTCGAGACAGAGTTCTACATGTCACAGGGCTTGCCAGCTTTTCGTATTAACCACCCAAATTGACCATTTCTGCTTTTAAACCCTCTGGTTCACTAGGCTTCCATTAGAAATGCATTTACTGTAATTATGCTTCCAGCTTATTTCTCAGTACTGCCACAGGCGATGATAATAGACATACAGTATGGTTGAATTTAACACTGAATATTCCTTTAGAATGTTCCAGATGGAAATAAGAAATATTTAATCGTTTTTTGGTATGTAAAAGATAGCTATATCTTGGAAATGTTTTTTTTAAAAGCGTTTTAGAGCAAAAAGTTGATGATATTTGTTCTGTGACTATACACTGAAAATTGTTGTCTTGAAAATTGATGTTCTGTTTTAAACCTCATAGGTGCCAAGCAGAAAGAACAAACTATCTATGCAGAAGTTGACGTAAGTTTCATACTACTATTCTTCATTAACCATTGATACTAATTCAATGGTATAACACTATCTGTTGTCTTTTAAAACAAGCATGCAACATGCTTTGTAACTCTAGGTACAGTTTTTGGTAATAAATCATACAATCTCCGAAGAAAAATTACAAAAGCTGTTACTGGGGCAGTACCCTTTCAAAAGATACTAATATGTACTATTTAGGGACTAATATGAACCTTAAAGGTACTTATCTGCACCCTATAGGGATTAACGAGGTAGAGTACTATTAGAGTCTGCATTAATTAATTAATTAATTAATTAATTGGTATTTCTTATTGGTTATTTACTGTCACATGGGCACAGGTGATCGCTTCAATTTTCTTATTTATTTCTTATGGCGGATTACCTTTGGTGGTGGAAAGGAGTAGTGTTAGCCAACTTTCTGTTAAACGTATTGCATTGGTTTGAATGCTGTATGTATTCAATGCCTCATATGCCTATGTCCTCATACAGTATGTCAGTCTTATCAAGTAAATTAAAAGCAAGCTAAAACTCATCAGCCTTCCATTTGCTGGTAACGAAGACCAATCGCTATACTTAGCCTCTATGTGGCTGTTGGATGTCGCTAATAGTATCTGTAATATGAGCACTCACCACTCATTTCATGCAAACCAGAAGTATGACATTTAGATTGGATCGTGTCTGCAGGAGAACATAAAGCCAAAAAAGTCACCAGAGATGTTGGAGAAATCAGATAATCCTCATACGGTGTATATTACTGCAGGAGATCCAGGACAAACTGATGTTACCGTCCACACCACACACAACGACGCCCCTATTAATCAGGTGAAGAGTAAACAATAGTGACTCTAATCGCAGTTACAATTCATTTCAAATTAACTGATTTTTTTTTTTTTTTAAATGATCTGAAGCTGATTTTGTTTTTCTTTTTTTAAGAGTTCATCACTCACAGAGAAGA